TGCATTCTAGTTAATTCTTACCATCAAATGAACGATTAGATCAGAATCTGTGTTTTCTTTTTAAGGCCTCAGCTCCCCCCCCTCCAAAATCGATTTTCAACATGGTGCATGGAATCTTCATGAAACTTTCTACAGATGCTTGACCCATAAAGGTACAAGTGTAAAAAAATTTTGATGGCACTAGTTCTTTCGGTTCGAGAGACATACAGGTACCAAGGGGCAAAATGGGAGTCCCATGCGTACAATGATTTTTTCAATACACTTCGACATGGAGCGCTCGGGCTAGTCTCATTTGAAAGAGAACTCCTTGATGTTTCAGATGAGGGAAAGGGTTTTTTTAATTTTGATTTTTTTTCTTTGGTGGGATCTACAAAACTTTGAAGTTGTGAAAACCCTATGAAGGATTTTTCATAAAATACCTGATTGCTCATAGATTGAGAGTCAAATAAAAAATTCCTTTTCGTCATCTGAAGAAGGAAATATCTATCTATCAAATAAAAAAAAACGCAGTTTAATAGAATAAACTATAGTGAAGAAAAATTTGTTCAGAGATTGATATTTTACAAAAAACTCGGTTTTGAGAAAAACGATAAACAAGTTTTTTTTGTGAATATTACCTGCAACCACATAAAAATGCAAGAATTGCATGTCAATGGTAAATACACGTCACAGTGCAGTGCACTATGATTGTCGCGACGTATCCCGCGATAGATGGCGTCACCTATTGGTCGCTATTGTATATAATAATTATAATATTATATAAATATAAGTAATAATAATTCCAACTAACTTAAGTTTTTTTACGAAAAGCCAATAAACAACTTAGAGATTCAATAATAATATCTTTACGGATTTGTAAAGTAGACAACTCGAACATCATGCCCATGTGTTTATCTCAAAATCCATTTTTTTGACGAAAATCGACTTTTTGGAGGGGGGTGAGGCCTTAATGAAATGAGAATAAAACTAACAGGAAAAACTACGATGACGTGTCTCAAAAAACATGAAGTCCCGTTGAACGAAGAAAACGCACACGTATACATGGACAAGAAAAAGCTGAAAAACATTTATCCATAGAGCAGAGAGGAAATACATACGTGTCGCTGAACGAGGAAAGGATGGAAAAATAGTGAACAAGTGAACGAGAGAAAAGAAGAGGAAAAAGAGATGAAACGTGGTTGACATGTGAAGACGAAAATCTATAACAGGCATCCCTTCAATAGGAAAAAATGTGTTTTTTATCAAGTATAATATAAAAACGTCTAAAAAGTCTGAAACAAGAAGATCAAGATCAGCTGACTAAAATACTGTAGAAGAGAAAATGGTACCTAAAAGATTGAATCCCGAACAAATTACGAGAAAGTTATCGCGTGGTACTGAGATTGTTTTTTGCAGTGGACTAACAAAAATGATACTATCTGTCTTGATTTTAAGTGTAAAATGGTTGAGATATAGTTTGTGGTAATGTTCTTATGTAAAATCATTTACGTGTGATAATGATTCAAATAACTGTTGTTGTTGCAGTTATTTACAATCAGTCAATAGCATTTGTCCGACTTTATTAAAATTTCTTGATCGACCGTTTGTATTACACAAGTCACATTTTATTTGATAACATATGAATTTACAATAACTTGTACGACTTACAGTAATGTTATATCGATCTGTTTGATGATGAATATTTGTTTTCTGATTTTTCGTTACTCGTTGTTGGTGTGGGCATTGATTTGGTCGTAGTTTCATATGATAATCGACGAAGTTGTGATTGTTAAATGTCATGAGCGACTCTTGACGATGATGCTGACGGTTCAATCAGGGATAATAGTTCATTTTATGCATGAACGGCTAATTCAGTATCATTACCGGGTATTGACGACGTTCATGGTGGCAGTTCATTTGTTTCGCGGGCTCCAATTATACCATCATCTTCAGTATCGGACCGTTGTTCATATTCATTTGTGGTCGGGTATGGTGTCAATGATTGTAATGGTTACTGATCATTATTGACTTGTGCGAATCCTGTGGCACGCACAAAACGTATCGACTTGATAATCTCAGAATAAAATACGCAAAATTCAGAAAATGCATGTATAAAGCCAGTAACAGGCCAGAATGAGTTAGCTCAGTATTAGTTCGATTTGCCGTTTGACGCTTTTGAGAAGGACCGAGAATCAAGTCGATCCTGTTTGATGTACGTAGGACTGAGAATTAATCCGATCGTCTCATTTGCATAGTGCTAGATTGACTTTACCAGCGAACTGTTCCTGACGTGGATACGTACGGATATAATAGTGGATTTCCAAACAAATGGTTACCTGTGGATAGTTGTCAGGATTAGCAAAATTGTAGATCTTGACGGTGGTTATTAGTTTTATAGAAAATCAGTGATAATCAGTGGTCGAGCATGAAGATGTTGATGAAAAATGAACCGTTCTGTGCAATAACCCTGAAAGAATTTTCATACACATACACATTCTAATAGGGTACTCTTTCAGATATTCAGATCACTCTTCAGGTTTGTTCTGACTAATATGGTAGAAGAGAAAAATGAAAAATAGCAGCATGATCATCTTTACTACTCATGGCACGTTTTTCAAACTTAAGAGAGACAAAAAACTCACTCCTCAAAGGGTTAAGAAGGAGACATCCTAGATCAAAGTGTTGAAACAAAAAAACGCAGAAGATCTTTGATTGAACAAAATTTTATTTTTACATCTTTAAGACTAATTACAACTGAGCTATCTCCTTCCTGGTGAAGCATGTAGCTGAAGTGGATTGAAAAATACAAGTCAAATAAAACATTGTAAATAATTACAATTATCTATGCTGCTGTTGAGCAGAGAAAATATTCTGCAAAAAAACGAATATTATTTTCAAAAGATTCATCAAATCCGTTGTTTGCAGCTCTGCAAACTGAGCTGTTAAAGTTTGAATAAGGTCAAAGAAATACCGACTTCATATCTTCTATAAAACATGCCATTGTCGACTTCTCTCTCGTACCTTTTCAATATCTTTTACGTTGATCAATTAGTTGACAGTTCAATTCTAGGGACACCTACCAACTGTATACTTAATCAGGGCGATGTTATATCGCTTGACTGTCTTGGCGATCAGAGAACTGAATTTCGATGGCTTGATGGTTTCACAGTAAACGGCGATGTTTCTCTTTTACGGGATCCATCTTCGACCGGAACTAAATGGCGTGTATGGTCTCATCCAGGAAGTTGCAGTATTAGTCTCGAATCGCTTGGTCATATTCCAGGCAAAAAGTGGTTACACGGTAATGCACAAGATGGTACAGTTAGATTAGAAGCTACATCTGCCAATCATCCTGACACAAAATGGTCGGTGGTTTTGACGGATGGGCGATATAGTTTCTTTTCTCAAAGCTCAGGTTAAAAAATACATTATATTGTTCGATAAAATTTCTAATGAAATAGTATTTTTGTTATAGTTGCTGGCGATAAAAGATGGTTAGATGGTGTAACAATAAGTGGTAAAGTTGTACTTCAACCAGCGATTCAGGGTTACTCTGGCACTCAATGGAATGTGGTGTTTCGCTAATTGAAAGTCCTAAGATTAGTATGAAGTTGACATGACTTCTGATATTTTTTATTGTTCAATTATATCAAATGCTGCACAATTTTTTAACAAGATTTGTTTATAAGCACTACACTATAATGAATAAGAAATTTATCATATAAGGATTAAATATCAAGTTTGCTTGACAATAAGCTACTGTAAATATGGCGTTCAACACAAATTGGTTGCGCTGATTGGAAGTATATACACCATGGAAAAAGTCATTCTTTTTTTCCTCGGGTTTTCAAAAACTACTGAAACAAATGTGAAACCTTTTTGGAAACTACTGATAGATTGAGTACAATAAAGGAATATAAAATGAAAATGTGTCCACTTTGGATGAAGCTTCGCTCCAAAAATACAGTGACTTTTTATCTGTTGAGTAGCTCTCCAACAGCGATTGATATTAACCCTTTCTTACCTCTAGTTAAACCTGAAGGTCTTGAACCAAAATATTATAGGGGTTATAGGTTATCGAGCATGCTGATGCCGAATATGACTATGGAGGCTTCCCATAGATCTTCGAAGATCCAGCCTTCTGGAAAAGCAGTTTTTCAGAAACTCTAAAAAATAACCAAAACCTTTCTTAACAAGACATGATCTTAGAGTGCAAATTTCTGATTAAAATAACGCATCTCTGAGCTCTACATGACCTTTCTTTGCAAAGTTATAGAATTTACAAGAAAAGCCTCAGCTCAAAAGCTTCAACAGAAAGAAAAAAGTAATAATTAGCTTTTCTTCTAA